GACGTTCCATGCAAGCACGAAACCCTTTGGGGAAAATGGGGGATGAAAACTTGGAAGGGCTTAAATGAAGATTCCTAGAACAAGTTATTTGGATTTTTTAGTCCTTACCTCCTCAGCTGCTGCCTTGGCAGCAGATTTGGCTAGGGTGGAGGATTTGAAAGCGCTTTTCGGGTTGAGTGCCTTTCGGATCTTAAAAACAGTCCATGCAGTTCCTATAGCATGTCCTGCTGCATCAAGCCCGTCGTTTGCAGCCTTACCTGCTTGTTCACCATACCTGCAGGACAGTCATACTCAAACGTTTACACCCTATCACAGAAGCATACCACTCGTCTGATGAATTTTGAAAAGCGTGAAGTAGGCCATCAACTATTGCTACCGGCAATAGTTGTTACCGGCAACAAACATATAGGGTTTGAAACCGGGGGTTAACTTGTTGATCCGAAACCAACACAAATGTTAATAACCTCTTGTAATGCATCCCCTAAGTTATAGTGGGCCAAAATAGCAGGTCTACTGTCCACATGAATCGTGCATATCTTTTCAGTCTTTATTTGTTTCATTTACTGTTACATTACTCTAGCATCAAGCATCTAGTGAACCTTACCTGTGGGAGACGAGCTCGGTTGTCACAGTAGACGACGTTGACATGACATTTTTCCCGGCTACTTCAACAGCATCACAGACTTTGCCTAGTTACAGGAACATGTAAACATTAAAATTCAACCATCTGATTGGAAACAGTCATATAAGATTACAGAAACACAAAAGGTAAGGACAATTAATACATCATCTATGATGGCATGTTTAGATCTACCTAATAGTCAAATGTAGTTATATATCTAAAGGCTTTTGGCTAAGTTCACGGTCACTCGCAGTGATAGCGGTAAGAAAAATCTCTTTAGCTGCAAGAAAATCTACCCTTCTACAGTTAAAGGTCAAAAATAAAACTTTTGTTCGGGAACTATCTGCACCACTCTTGTAATTTATAAACGAGCTCACCGGAGTTCCACTACAAGCAGCAATGAAATGACACATTTATACGGACAGTTTGTGTATCATTCAGATCGAAAGTATTAATGAAATTACGACAGAACGACAAGATAGAGGTTTTAATTGAAAGATTTAGCAAGCCTGTTATTAAGAAAGCATCAAAATCAAGGTACTGAGATGATCAACATACAAAATCCATCCAGCGATGCTAGCAAAATTTCCCCAGGCAGAAGACGGAAGAATTTCTTTCCCACTTTGGAGTTTACCACCGAACTTGTGAAGAATCCAGAAACTTTCAAGACCCCAGAAAGGACACCGGCTGCAACTTTCTGTGTCGTTTTGCTCACCTTCTTAACCCTGCAGAACAAGTAAAAGTTAGATTCTTGATCAAAACCATTCTATCGACCCCAGAAAGCAAAAGGGCAAAAACCCAAACAGTCGACTAGAAGATGACACCCTTGTCTTCAAACTAATGTTCATAGACAGTGCTGTAGAACAATAAGGCAATGTCCAGATACTTGCAACTAATGTCTTCCCTGGATCCTACGAGAACGTATGAAGATAAAGGACCAAACTCCAAATACGAAAATTGGTCTCGGGCATCAATCTAAGTACGAAAGATTCATAATTTTCCATAATTAATTTGTCTTAAAATTTGACAAGTTTCAATAGACAACCGGGACTAATGCATCCATCAAAGACACAAACAACACACAAATTTTGTACCTTTTAATCCTTCTCATGGTTTGGGGACTGACTTCCTTATTCGAACGCGGGTCCATCCGCTTCTTCATAACCTCATTCCCCAATTTCAATCTCTCCACCGTCACATCCCCACACCACAAGATGCCCTTGATCAGCTGGCCTGAACCGGCCGCGATCAATTTGGCAGCCATTCCATTGTAATCCTCCACATTCGGTGCCAATGTGGTCCAATACACAGCGCTCCTCTCCTCCAACTCCTTCTTCTTCTCCGAGCTCAACTCCTCCGGCGAGGTCTCCAATGCCAGGGTATCGTCCAACGCCTCCCCCTTCCTCTTCGCCTTGTCCGAAACCTTCTGTACCGAAAAACTGCTGTAACTCTTCAAAATCCCATCCAATTCCTTCACCAATCCCTCCTGCCCTTTCGACGCGATCGTCAATCCGTAGTTCAAAAAACTGTCCGGATCATTCGCCTTTGATTTCGGGTCTGACCCGGACCCGGAATCGGAATCCGGCGGAGCGTAGAGTGAGAAGAAGTAATGCGAGTCGTCGAGCTTGACGGTGCCTTCGTTCTTCGCCAGAGGCCACTGGATCTCGTCGCCGACTCGGGCGAGGACGGCGACTATGTCGTCACCATGGACGAGGCGTATGATCGTGAAGTCGCCGGAGTCCAGCTCGACACTGTAGTGCGTGTCGATTAAATTAACAATGGTGCCGGGGATTTTGATGAGAACCTCTTCGGTGGCCACCGGTGGAGCTGACGGCGGAGCCTCGGGTGGAGCCGACTCCTCGGGCGGAGCGGAGGGTGGGTATTGGTAGGTAGGGTTAAGGTATTCCGGGAAAAGATTTTCGTAGAGGTCTTTCATGTCGAGGGAAGGGTAGAGATTTGGGGCTGAGGAGGTAGGGATTGAAGGTGCTTCTGGGTTCGATTGGATGATCTCCGGGTAGAGGGGCTGTTTGGGAACGAGGTTTGGGTTCGCCATGGCTGTGACTTCTCCTGTTTGGCTCTGAAGATTGGAGAAGATTAGGGTTTCAGACTAAGCGAAATGACGGAGAAGAAGATGGATGGGACCACGGCGCTCGGACTTTCTCGAGATGGTGACCGGAGTCTGCATGACACGTGGCGGTTGTTCGGTAATGCCAAGTAGGATTAGGAGGAGACGCAGCTTTAAAGGAAGGTTAGCTCAACTGTCTCGGCGCCTTGCCGCGCGAGTAACTGTTAACGATTTTTTGTGTTTATCTTTTTCTATTTTTGGAGGGAAAAAACGAAAAGAAAGTTTAACTGATGACGACGACGTTGAGAGGTTAACTCAATTTGTTTGTGTCATTCTTTTGGTCATATTTAGGATGAAATTTTAGATTTGACAACTGAATAAGTTTCTTTGAATTAGATATCGTTTGATCTCGTCTCATGTCAGTACAACTACAAACATATTGAATGAGTCGGTCAGTTTACCCGATTGTCATACATATTTAGTTCTCTGTTTTTTATCTCACTTCCACGTATAAGAGTAGGTAATGTAGAAACCCTTGTTCTACAATAGGGCTCTTTCACCCTCATTTCAAGGATCCTTTTTTTTTCATTTGGGGACTCCCTTATTTTTCATTGTCACAGTCTCTCTAGACCATCAAGTCTCTAGGTACATTTTACATTGTTCTTAAAATTTCCGTCTAGAAGAAAGGGCACCTAAAAGAAATGGCGCTTTACCTAAGCGCCTACCTAACCAATTTAGACCGCCTAGCCCATCTATACCCACTTAGGTCGTGACTCTCACTCAGACAAAAAATAGATTTTAATTTTGCATTTCAGTTTTTTCAATGAATTGTAAGAGACTTGTTAAATATTTGAATGAATATGCATTATATGCTTATTCCTTATGTTTTCGATATGTTTTAATACTTTATTATATATATATATCATTTAATTTTACAATTTATATATCTCAATCAATTATAATTTTTTAAGTATAAATAGATATTTATTTATATGTTATATAATAAACTTACTTATACTTAAAATATAGGGCCTAGGCGTTAGGCACTTGACTGCCGCCTAATGCCTTTTTGATTAGGAAACATGTGTAAAAACTGATCAAGTGAACTTTTTACATTAGAAAACATGTTTAAAACTCATTAGATAAGGGAGGTGATTTAGCAACTTGATTGGTGGTGTGTTTTAAACTTTCAGATAAGGGAGGTGAAGGAAGTGAGCTTGTCTACAAACCAAGAGAAGTCAGAGATGAAGAGGAAGGCATGGAAGGTCGAGGGAGATGGCGCAGAAGAACCTACACCGGTGAGAGGAGGTCCTGTGAATAATTCAAGTCTTCTTGTTGAGCTCGGACCCATGGAGATTCACACTTTCTTGTTGAAATTTTAGAGACGGTTTGGTATCGTTCTTTAAACTTTTTTTTTTTTTTATATTTGTTTTAAAAACCAATCTTTAGATATCAAAATGTGAAAAAAAAAAATGAGCATTGCGATGCAAACTAAAATTGAGATTTGCACACTTGGTTTCTCAAGTTAGCTAGAGTAGTGTGTTCTACAGGGAAATGTGGGGACGTGCAAAGGAAGCCAAAGGGGTTCAACGAAATGTGTTTCTTACAATGCAGTTTTGGGTGCTATGGAGAGTGTTTCAGTTTTGTTTGAAGCTGAGTTACAAAATCGCTATACAACCTAATTAATTTCGTAGTGATCAACATCCCAAATCCAATTTATCTAACATGTCGAAGTCTAGGTACACGTCTTGTTCTTCTTCTTTTGCGCTCTTTCTTTTCTTGCTTGACACGCAGGTCCAAGTTGGGGGCCGTTAGATGTTACCACTCGTATGATACACGAGCGGCATGTTTGTTCAAAATCTAAGCTGTACACTCCAATTTCGTGCCCCACGATCAGTATGTGGTCATTGATACGATCAACCTCAACCCATTGCTTCTTGTCTGCATTCAATGTGGAAACCTTGCGTTTGATATCAATATCACGCCACACATCCACATAATCTTCATAACGTCTCATTTTTTTGACAATATATCTCTATTAAAAGCAAATCCCCCGATGATTCAAGCTAATAGTGCCCGAGAAGCCTGCGCCTCCTACTTCACCGTTATCACGTTAAGGCTAGAATCGATCATTACAGTTTTTCGGTCTCAACACAAAGCATAATAAGTTTCCTTGATAGAAAACAACGTCTTGCAAATCTCTGTGGTCGGTACACAACTCAGAGACTTTGATGATGCCCATTTATTTTCAATGTCGCTGCAGTACACCACAACCTACTTGTCCACGGTATAACATTCCTCTATAGATAAATATGAGCCCTTCTCTCTCTCCCGTCCTCACTCTCACCCACTTTTATAATTAGTTTCACAATACTCATTAATTTACTACCTTAATACAATCGAATTATATGTCATTCATATAGTTCTGACATAATTTTCATGCCACACCTATTGCTTGCGCTGCAAGTTATAACAAAAATAAAAAAACACAGCATCTAAAATTTCAACACGAAGGTGCGGATCTCCATGGTTCCAAGCTCAACAACAAGAGCTGAGCTATCGACAGGCCCCCCTCTAACCGGTGCAGGTTCATCTCCCCCGTCACCCTCGACTTTCCATGTCATCTTCTTCATCTCCGACTTCTCTTGGTTTGCAGACAAGCTCACTTCCTTCACCTCTTTTATCTGAAATACAATCACCAACAAGCACATTATGGCAACCGCCAATAATCCCGAAAACATATGTCGGGCAAAATAATGTAACATAAAACCTACCGTTTTTCCTGTAAACATCTTCTTCAGTTCAACTTTGGCCAGTGTTGAATATTGAGGATCTTCGGCTGCCTGTTAGAATCAACAGCATAAAAGACGCAAAGACAAACTAAATTAATTGCATTATCAAATCAATTATGTCACTGTAGCATGTTCTTTTGCTTATATTTTTACCTCATATAGATGAGCTAACCGAAGGAGCACAGTACCGTCATCCAGTTCCTGCAAAACTAGAATGTTAGAGAGAGAGAGAGAGAGAGAGAGAGAGAGAGAGACAATTAGCGAGCACTTGTGTCATTGTTCAGTGGTTTACTGTCACCTGAAGAGTAATCAAAGCAACATTGAGAGGCAAGCTGTAATTAGGATCCATGGTAGATGATTTTGTCAAATGTGATGCAGTCCAATCCTCCATTTTCTGAAATATTAAAATCATATATTATAAGGTCAACAGCAATGAAGCTTTACAAACTCTTCTGTAATTATGGTGAAGTCATACCTCGTGGGCGAATGCTAGAAGAAGCGGAGAGTAAACTTCCTGGCCAGTTGTGCGGCGCCAGGGGGCACCTGACCCTGCCTGGTTTACGCTCATATAATATTTCCCTCGAACCTGCAAAAAATATAAAATGTGCAAGAAATAAGCGTTTTTACTCTCATTGCATAGAAATAGAAACTACTATTGTTGTATAGCATGATACCGTTAGTCCTTCGCATGTATTTTCTTCGATGCACACTGTTTCATCAAGTGCTTCACCCACTCCTCTCGAATCATCCTCAAGTATACGCCTTGTGTTTCAAGCACGGAAGAATTAGGTCAACATATCCATATCCAGAATAAAGCAATTATTTGACCTAGATGCCGAAAATTTGTCTGTCAGAATCAAACCTGTGAAGCATCATCTCTATTTGTCCATCTTCAATGCTTGATCCTCCAGTGGCACGATCAACCAAGACTGAGAACTCGGATTTGTTATCCGAAGTAAACATTCCAAGATTTAGCTGAAAAAAAGAAGGAAGATAGCTACCGTGAACAAAATTACTATTAACTGATCACACCATTTATTAAATGAAATTAGCTAGTTGTGGTGTATGTGCGTATATCATGGAAGAAAATTGAAGAAATTACAGGATAATAGTTTCCTGCCACAGGTTGATTAACCACAAGGGGCCAGTCTGGTCTATAATCTCGTACCTGCAAAAACCATGACTAATGTGTTACTTCACTTTTCCAAATTAAGAATTCACGAGACAATGATAAACCAGAAAACTTCATCTGTTAAAATTTTCGGTGGAGAATACTAATTTGTATGAGAAACTCATAATGGAGTTACCCGTTTAATGAAATCCCTTCCGTTAGAATCGGTGTAGAACTCCTTGTTTGTGTCCATGTTTGCTGTCATTCTTGTGATCACCTCCTTTCCAACACCGTCGTCTGTGGGAATAGGACCGATCTTCAAAACAAAAATATGTCAGAACTACATGATTTGAGTCTACCAAGTACTTTACTGCTTTTGCTTTGCCTAAAGAAAGGATTCATCGGCCCAGATGAATACGGTGGACATTCAAAGTAAAGGCAATTATGTTTCCATTCCAAATAAAATGGAAGGTGCATGACTCACCGTATATTCAACTTCGGCATGCTCTTTGTCTCTGTAAAGTCTAGTAACCTAATAACAAATGAAATCTCTCGTTCAGAAAAATACGGTTGGTAACAACATAAGACAATGTCAACTTCCTCACTTCTGTATTATGTTTTATTAGGGTCCAAAATGATGTGTATAGCTCGCTAATGGACGTAAACCCTCATATGAACAAATTCAGTGAACTATTTAAGCATTTCCGATACAAAAGACGTTTCAACCAGAGAAGGCAATTTGACAAAGTGTCAATAACCTGATAGATCCATGGACTGAACTGTTGGTGAATTTCATCAACTATCGGTCCACGAAAGACCTTCAAAGGAACCTGTAGAATAAAATAAAAACTTTAAGAATTTATAGTGAAGAACCAGATATTATCTCTCAATCCTTATTTTATAAAGTGAAATTCCATCTAATTCAAAGCATGGAAAGTGCATGATAATACGCAAAATAAGGCTTACTGATCTTGACACAACAGTTGGAGGGGCGCCATTAGGCCGGAATATGTATGCACCAGAAGCTTGCTGGATAGATCACATAAACTGCATGTTAGTTCAGCAGGCACTTCATCAACCAGAATTACGTGCTAAAGTAAATCAAAGTCCTAGCAGAAATATTCGACACCTGGGAATCGGCATCTCCTGTGCTTGAACCATACCAGAGGTAGCTTTGCTGTATCGGTACATCAACCTGGTGAACATGATTGTTAATTAAAATTGCTTTAAACTTCCACCAGTCTAAATAAATAACGTAAACCGGCTCTTCATTTTGAGGGCTGTAAATCTAAACCTATGTCACTTGCACATGTGAAACAACTTACTCCTGTTTTAGAATTATACATCCGATTGAGTTGTCCCGAAGCTAAAGAAAACGACATTTTCAGATCTCCAGGTCCGATTTCGATTGTCTCATTCTGTGGACTGTCCATCGCCGAAAGAAATCCATTTCCGCTTTTCACTACAGAAGAAAGGGCAAAGAAATGCAGATAGTACATAATTTATTCTAGTATACTTTGAGCACATGAGCTTCATAAGAAATAACACTTGAGAATCCTCAAGGGGAAAGATGCGTACATCTACGTTTGGTAGCTCTTCCTGAAACGAAGTATGTGTTCCAACCAAGTGGCGGCACGGAGACTTGAAAGATTAGCCAGTACTTTGGAAATTGGTCTGGTGGCTGTCCCAAGTAGGCTTTTACATAGAAGTTTCTTAAATTGGCTGTTACATTGTCCAAACTTACATATTGTACCTCAAGAATATTTCCCGAAGAATCTTGAACAGAAAGAGTTGCATCATTAACCTGGTTGAACAGAAAAAATGAGCAAACCTACACTATGACAGCATAAACTAAATGCGAAGAACATATGCTCACAGGAATCCGAACAGTCTCAGTCCGATTCCATCCGAGAGGATTATATGCCACAACGACCTGAAATTTAAGAGAACGAACGATAAACAAAAGGTTTCATCTGCGAAATGTCCACAAGTAAATTAGAAGAAAAAGGAGATAAATTACCAAGCTCTTCCCTTGTGGAATATCTTCCTCTGTTGGAGGGCAGTAACTGATATTGAGTAATTGACACTGTTTAACGATGCAAAATTAGCAAATTATAAGTATATCCAGAAAATTAGCATCAATAATCCAAATGACAATGAATTGAAGTATCACCTGGCTAAAAGTCGGTGTTGAGTTAGTACATTGATCTCCTGTTTTATTTGTAGTTAGACACAAAAGATCGGAATTGACAACAGCTTCTGCCTATAAAATGTCATATGCTACATAAGATATCTAAGGCATATTTTAGCACAGACGATGAATAACAGTGTCGGAGACAAATGCAAAAACTCAAAGGACCAAAATGTGTAGAGATACTAGCTGGAGACCTCAGAAGCTCCAATGAAAAGGCGCTTTGCGTAGTCATCTGTAGTATGTTGTTTGGCAGTGCCGGTGACTGCATCATGGTGCTGTGCGATTCCTAAAGCATCTGCAAGGCCATCGGTATTGGAACCATTTGCTTTCCTTCCAGCCAGAAATTCTAGTTCTCGTGCCGCCTATTTTGCAAAAATAGAAGTTCACACCAAAGTACCACTTGGATTGCACTTAAAACTGACAGAATGCATCAGAAGCTATAGATGATTACTATAAAGACTAATTTGATTTTATACCAAATAATATCCGCTTAGCAAGCGGATATATCCCTTCAAACCCGGGCGACTAGTGAAAAATCCAGTCCAATAAGCATCTACCGCATCTGCATACCTGTTGGCAATCATTGGTATGCAATAGATTAAGTCAGTAAGTCCTGTTCTGTAGGCATTTATTTATCTCTGGGAAGGTTCTTTGCTTTCACATTTATTTATCTCTGGCAATCATTGGGAATATGAGAGAATAATACTCACGGAAAATAATCCTCAGTTTTCAGTGGCCATGACTGGTTTGCTGCATTTTTAGAATCGGTATAGATAGATGGTGTAGAATACAAGGCATTAACTCGACCGTCCTGAAAACAAAAATAAGCTCAATGATGCAACTTCGAACTTGAAATCCGCATAATAGTATGAGGTTTGTGATTAAACTCCACCTTATTAACATAGTGAATTAACTTGTCCATTTGTTTGAACCATGATTCTGCATATTGGTACTGGAAATCATCTCCCATCGTCCACATAATGTGATTCGTCCTTGTCACATTTGCCTGCACAGAAAGATCATTCAATCATTTATCATATACATGCTTCAACTTTAACCATTAGATAAAACAGAAGTTTATAAGAAAATTTAAAGGAGCATTTAGGAACATTAAAACTTCATTATATACTCAAGGGATAAGGTGATTACTTGGGTAAGTGAAGCGCTGATGAAATCGCTGACACGCTGTTCAACATTGTAGTCGAACAGAAGAGGATTATCCTGCAGTTTTATCATTCAACAGATTAGTTGATACCTCATTACATCCACCCTGAAAGAACATCGAGTACTTGATGGTGAAAAGTTACTCTGTTGAAACTAGAACCTGGACAGGCTCGAAGTTGTCAAATACTTCGAAATGGAAACCGGGAGGTGGACTATAGTGAACTGGAAAAGCATTGGCAAAAATCTGCAAAGGGCCAGGGTAGTTGTATGTAAGCTTTAGATTACATTTTTGAATTAAGGGAAAGTTAAAGTTTTGTAATTAAAATGGTAACAGTGCAGCAGTTGTAGTTCTAAACCTGAGATGAAGAACCGAAAGTTTTGGATCCACGCCATATAACCTCAAGAGACTTATCCACCTTGCGCTTCGCTCTGTCCTGATAATCGATCCTTGCAAAATGCACAGAATCAAACCCGAGCTGCAAGAACATTGTAAGAATCAACTCCATGAGAATTATACGATACCAAATAAAGTTAAGATTCAATCATGTGACTAAACCAACATAGAAAAATGATGAAGCATTGAGGACTCAAATAACAAAATGACCTCAGCGGTGAGTAAGTAAGCTTGCACGGCAGAGTGTCCAAAGGGATCAATCTGCCATCCAGCACGAGGCGTCTTGTTGAACTGCGCCTTTATTGCACGGTGACCTAGCGTCGTTTGATCAATCATGTCTATGTAATGGGTTGTTGCTTCATCATGCATACACCAACCACCATTTCTATATATACAACAGAATTGCTTGAAACAGATTACAAGATGCAAACCAAACACATTTCCTTACGCAAATCAAAGATTCAAGTCGATAGAAGCATACACAAACTCTAACTGCCCGTCATCTACTAGTTTTCGCACGAGAGCTTGAATTTCCGGACTTTGTGTTAACCACCATCTTTGGAAGAATGCCTAAAATTCATGCTAAACAAATCAGAAAACAAAAAGAACTAAAAATTGAAAAACTTTATCATGTTGTGGAGCTTAATTACTGGCTTTACCATCTCAGCAAACACAAACTTCCTGTTCGGATCACGAGCCAACGATTCAACAACAGAATCCAACGTATTCTCAACACAAGCACCCTAATCAAAATGAGCAAATTCATTAACTAGTTAATGATTAAAGTAATTAGCACATTAAGACAATCAAAAGCACTTTTGGCAAAAACCTTATATGCTGTTTTTGCATCATAAAAACTACTTTTTAGTGATCAAAATCATTTCTAGCAAAAACGCTTATTAGGTGCATAAACCATATCAAACGAACTCATATATTATATACAAACTTGATTGTCTATTATTGTATGACCTGAATGCTGTTGTTTGATCCAACATAGTACTGATCAACCGTCTTCAACCACCCGACATCATCGTGCGAATGCGCCACCAAATGAACATTCAGTTTCCCCTCCACCACGCCACTCCCCGTCTCATACTTCACATAACCGCCGCCAACAGCCTCCCTACACAAACAACCCACAACCAAAACAACCACAAGCCGAAAACCCAACTCCAAAGTTTCCGCCTTTCCCATTTTTGAAGTGCAAAAATGGGTTTTCGCTCTGCCGGGTTATATCGAAAACAGACTCCGTGAGTCTGTGACCTGTTGCCACGGTTGTTAACCTTGTGATTGGGAGTTTCGGGTAGGACAGGACAAAAGAGGCCTCGGTTTCTCCATTGAAACAAAATGGCCGGCCTAAATATATAGAGGGTGAGACGGGACTGGATAATGAAGGGGGACAGTCTGTACGAGGGCGTGTAGTGGGGATGGGGCTCCATTTGTCCGAGTTTGACAAAGCTTGTGGCCTTTTGAGATATCAAATTGAATGGCGGAATCTGGGGACAGAGGAGCCGTTATTAAATTCTTCAAACCCCTGCGCGGGGGGGAATTGTAAACGGATGGGTTAAATTACCGTTAAATTACCGCCACTTTTTGGCCGTTGGATGTGGATTTATGTTTTTTTTTTGAGTTTTGTCGAACGATAAATTTTATTAGATTAGCCACCACATAATGATTCAACTCTTTTCCACTACTATGGTAAAAAGCCACTTGCATATAATCGCAAACTATAGTAATATTTGTCACACCTCACATTTACTTTGTCAATCAAAATTTATCTTAGTACACTCAACATACTTTCCTATACTACCTTCACACCCCAAACTTTCTACATACATCCCACATTTTTCACATACATTCAACATTCTCTCATTGTTCATTCTCACCACATCTCCAAATTTCAAGACTCTTGCTAAACATGTAAATGCTAATTATGAGGTCAATTACATGACATTCGATTGTTGGTTTATTTTATTGGTAGAGCACAAATCCAAAATTTGTATCCCTATCTGTTACTCCTCTAGAGTCAATCTCACAAAATTTTGACCCAAAAAAACAAAATGATAGGACATGGGTGATTTTTCTTTTTTCAAAATTATAATGGGTTCAATTCTTTTTAGGGAACTTTAACGAAAAACTTCCGTTACTGTTCATTTTAACGAAAAACCATATTTTTACAGTAAAAAGTCAATTCTAGTACTATTCACTTTACCGTTTATTTTGTCCTTATCGTTAAAACTCAAAGTTTTCAAGCATTTTTCATTAGAGTTCCTTTCTTTTTACGGTACAAAACTCAAAAAGAAAGTAGTGCCAACTGTCAAACTTCCCACTTAGAGAAAAATTTGTTTGTGTTATAATGGATTTATTCTTCTTTTTTTTTTTTTTTTTTTTTTTGAGGTATCGAAAATTTGTTTTGGAGTAGTTATAGATTTTGATAACAAAAAAAATGTTGTAGCTCTTACAAAATCCATAATGTACGTCTGGTTTCGAATTCGTAACATTTTTTTATTTTTAGGGTTTAGGTTTCTATCAATTTGGGGGTTTTTGTCAATTAGGGGTTTTAGGATTTTAGGGTTTGGGTTTAGACAACCAATTTAAAGTTAGGGTTCATATTAGTAAATAATTTGTGTATTGAACTTCTTTTAATTTTTTTGGGGCTAAATAGTCATTTCATGTGTACATGAGTTACTTAATAATACATATTTATGTGGGCTGTGTATTCAACATTATGTGGGGTACTAATGAAAAAACCTTAATATTAAATATGACATGCCAACAAGTGTGTTAGATTTGTACATTTAAATGATATTTCTCAATTGCAAACTACGTGTATGATCAAAATTTAAGGGGTGTGCCATCTGCGTTTAAATGAAAATTGTTAACCCAAAAAACATCAAATGTGACAGATAATTAACAGGAGGGAACATCGATTAAAAATATAATAACATGCTTGTTTAATTAATACCATTACCAATGTTTCAATTTTTTAATCCCTTTGAAATTTGGAGCGATGCTTGAATTCAACGTGACATATAATAGCATACATGTGTGCCAAAATAGACAGCATCCGAATATTTATATGACTAATAATCCTCGTTACCATACGATTTTGATATCCCAACAATCAAGACGAAGACCAAATCACCAATACATACATACTGCCGAACAGAGACCGTATTAAAAAATTGTGTTTTGTTTGAATGTGTTTGTCGTGTAGATTTATTATCGGGAGGACTGCTTAGACCAATCGTTGATGCATATGAGATCTACAATCCAACAGCGGTTTATGTAGCATATTTCTTGTTGCTAGTTGTCGAACAACGACATTACTGGAGACAGATGTTTTATCTGCTAGACTTATTGGGAAGTTGAACACGAGTTTATGGCATCACACATTTATTTATCACCATCATGAACAAAGCGAGAAGGATGTCACTTAGTAGATACCGAAGTAATCACCATTAACAACAAAGAACACCTAAGTAAAAACATCGTCGTGGGGAACAATGTAAATATTAATTCAATGCAGAGATGCATATCAATGTTGCAAGTCTTTTGCTCGAACGCCATGAGTTTATCTGAAGCCGTATGAAGTGAATGTGATAAAGATCAATGTACTGGTGTAGATACGGAGCTTTCTGACCAGGCGAACAAACATTGATCCAAATTTCAATCTACAAGCTTAAAGGTCAGAACCTGAGTTGATAGACGATCACTAAAGGTTGGCGAGATTTGCTGCCAAGTAGAAGCATCTTTCAGCACAAGTTGGCAACGGACATGAACTGGGTGATTTCAGCAAAAGTTACGCTGAGCTCAACCAGCTGAGGCATTCCAAGTTTTCCTATCCTATCTCGAACTACCCAGCAACCAAACAAAGAATAACAGGAACATATAACAATAAAGAATCAGAAGTTAGAAATCTCCGCAGATCAGATTGACAGCATGGGCCTAAGCTTGAAACCTCGACGGAGTGTAATCGCTCGATCCGCATCCACTCCGAATTATCAATGCAGATCATTGTCGCCTGTCCAGCAACGCAAACGGACCAATTAAACAAACAAATTTCCTTAAATTTAAACCCTAATTCCCAAGAAAGATGATGAATTTGGGGGTATTTGAACTTGCAGTGCGGAAATTAATCGAGGGCGTGAAGAGGAAATTAGGGTTTCGGGACTCTTACCTCGAGAAACATGGTTGCAGACTGTGAAGAAAGATCGAGAGAGGTTGATCGAGAAGAAAATATAAGTAGAGGATTGGTAATTCTTCTTCTATTTTCTGATCTTATGGACTAGTTTCCGGTGCCATTTCTTTCTATCATTCTCTTTTAATTGTAAACTTCAGGTTGTGGTGGCATATAATTCGCTTGGATGGAATCGAACTGAGATTGTCAGGATACCGGTGAGTTTTTCTGAAGTTAGCAAGTTTCCCTTCTTATCTGATAACAAACTTGCCTTCCTTTTCAATATAACTTGAGAGTGACAATTTCAACCAGGTTAACGACGCGAATCTTGTTCTTCAAGATTCCTCCAGGAATTTCCTCCGCTGTGATGGAAAGTCCGCAGAATGAGACTGTTGAAATCGGACCTGGAGATCTGAAGACGTCCTTTTCTTCCGCTTCAGGAACTCTCGAATCGATGTATAATATGAAAACACGAGTAAGTTGTCTAACATTTCTCAAACACTAGCCTTGCACAATCATTTTTACTTACTTCCATAGTTTTCTTTACATGCAAGAAAGAGTGATTTGTATATGTATCATATATCACTAGGTTGATGTACCAATTCAGCAGAGCTACTTCTGGTATAATGCAAGGGGAGGTGGTTTACTGTTCCGGAGTGTCAAATCTCTGTGCTAGGGTTGCGATTTACCTAATTGCAGAACTCAAGCCAGTCGTTGGAATACTTTGTGTCTTTTGTGCTAACATAAAGTTGTATGATCTATTGAGCAGAATCTGGTGCATACATATTCCGGCCTTGCGACTTCCTTCCAAATGCTGTGTCAAAATCAGTATGCCATCTTTCCATGTCACTTTGTATTTGCGAAGCCTTAGCTTGATATACATCGTTGGCCATTCTAAAGGTACAATTGAAGGTTGTCCGCGGACCTCTGTTAGATGAGATTCACCAAAAGTTCATCTCATGGATCTATCAGGTCACCAGACTATACAAAGATAAAAGAGTACGCTGAATTTGAATACACTGTGAGCGATATATACTTACAATTTTACTCTCATGAAAAACAGAATTTACGCTTTATTCTGAAATCAACCGTGTTTGTCGTTCTGATATACTTTTATTTTTAAAATCGGTCCAATTCCAGTAGAAGATCATGTGGGAAAAGACGTCATCACGTGAATGACAACGAATATGACCACAAAGAAAGTGTTTTACACTGATTCAAACGGGAGGGATTTCATAAAACGGGTAATTCTTGATGAAGAGATGAAAATTTGTCTCGAGTGTTTTTAATTCGTAAGGGTTATATAAATGCTGACTCGAATCATAGTTTCACAGGTTCGAGACTATAGATCAGACTGGTCCCGTTTGGTTAATGAACCTGTAGCAGGAAACTACTAGCCAGTAATTTTCTCAGTACTAGTTCACATGAAAAATGGTTTGAACTGTTTAAGGTTCTTATTGACGGCGGTATGATGTTGTTTTTCAGCTAAATCTTGGGATGATGTTTACATCGGATAACAAATCTGAATTCTCCGTCTTGGTTGATCGCGCCACTGGAGGATCCAGCATTGAAGATGAAGTAAAGCTGATGCTTCACAGGTTTGTTTTAGACATACTATCATAATCTTGATGTGTCCACATGTTAACCTGATTTTCGTTGTTCAAACGCAAGGCATCTGATGTATGACGACTCTAAAGGAGTGAATGAAGCCCTTGACGAAATTGTCTGCATCAACAAAATTAAATGCGATGGACTAACGGTACAATCTTACACCAAAACAGATTCATTATGCGTCTGATCACGTTATCTTTATCTTGGTTCATATTTTTCTTTTCAGATTCGAGGAAATTATTATGTGAGCATAAACCGAGTAGGGGATGGAGCTTGCTGGCATGGAACAACTGGACAAGAAGTTTACTCTCCACTTGTTCTGGCTTTTACTCATGAAGTATGACTCGACTGCTACATTAAGCGTCTGTTTGGATTGAAGGATGTCGATTTGGATTTCATAACT